AGCCTGGAGGGTCAACAGAGACAAATAATGAACCAAGAGAGGCTGAAGGCCCTTGGTGGGGAAGTCCCTTCCTTCCAGGCCCAGAGGAGTGCCTGGCTATGTGAATAGTGAACTCTTGTCATATCTTTGTGTCATCTAGAGACAGAATTCTTTTTATTTTTTTCTGGTTTATTTACAAAGTTCCTATACATTGTTTTTCACATTAGATCTTTCCCATTTCCTTAAACTCCCCACCTCCACCTATCAAATTGTGTGACCTTATGATTAACATCCCCTCCGCCCATCCTCACCCTTCTACTCCCACCCTCCCCCATCTTGGATCCTCATACTCTTTATACAATTATAGTCTTACACAGTATTTGTCCTTATGGGACTGAGTTAGTTCACTTAGCATAACACTGTCTAGTCCCTCCCAAGTTGGGTACTAATTTACAAAATTGTTTAGAGCCAGCATTCCTAATTTCATTTTTACTTAATTGAATTTAAGTTTCAACAGCCACATCGCTGCAGTTCTGGACCAAGCAGAGCCTTGACACCAGGCTGGGAGAGTTTATCCCATGCAGAAGTCAACACTTGCTCTGTTAATCTCTACTTTCCCCCCTTGTAACAATGACTTTGTCTATTTTTCTCCAAGGAATGTTGCCTTATTGTATTGATTTTTATTAACTTGCCTGGGAACTGATAGTAACTTGAAATTTGTCTAAGAAACCTCGAGGCTGAAGAGTGTGGTTGGCAGCTCCAGGGGAGTAATCTCGGTGTTTATTAAGGGCTTGCTTATAGAAGCAATGCCCTGGATGGGGTGACTTTAGGGCAGATTTGAGTTTTTATGCTCTCTAGAGGGAGAGTACACAGGGTTTTTGGAAGGCTGTTATATTTCAGAAGTGGATGGCTAATCTTACTCCTTAGTCTGTCTTAATTTGGATGCTTAGTTTTAGAACAATATCTGACAGACAAGCACTTCTACCTAGCAGATGAAAAACACTTCCCTTACAGAAATAACCATATTAAATATGTATTGAAGCTCAATATCAAGAAGATAAAGATTCTCACCATTGGACCAATAGGCAGACCATGATAGATGAAGTGATTGAGGTTGTTAGCAATTACAGCTTGCTCAGCTCCACAATCAACACTCTTAACACCAGCAGTCAGGAAATCAAAAGACGACTTGCATTGGGAAAATCTGCTGTCGGGGGCCTCTCCAAACAAAGGTGCTCCAGGGCATGGTCTTTGCAATTACCTGTTATACTTCAGAGAGATGGACAATGACTAAGGATGACAGAAGAAGAATTGATGCTTTCGAGTTGTGGTGCTGGAGAAGAGTCTTGAACATACCATGGACTGCCAAGAAAACAAATAGGTCTGACTTGGAAGGGTGAAACCAAGTCTCTCCTTGGAGGCAAGGGGTTTGAAGCTCTGTCTCACATACTTTGGGCACATGGCCAGGGAAGTCTGGTCCTTGGAGAAGGACATCATTCTTGGAAGAGTGGAGGGACAGTGCAGGAGAAGACCCAGGATGAGATGGATTGATACAGTAACTGGGGCACTGGGGGTTGGTGTGTTGGAATTAGTGAGACTGGCTCAGGACAGGGCAGGGTTCAGAGCTGTACATAGGGTCACTATCAATCACTGGTGACATGACAACACAACAACAACAAGAACATCATACTATATTGGTTGTTTTTTTATTTAAGCCTCTTGCTTAAAGTCAACAAGACCTCATGGAGGGCCTGTGTATTTCAAAGTTGGTTGTTATTTTATTTTGAAGGAATACTCTTCTAAGTGGTACAGCCCTCTTCTGTCAATTTGCTGTATTGAGGTAACCTGGGGTTGCTGTGATGCTGAATTTTAGGCCATTGGGGTGTCCAATGCCATAACGGTTACCCATGGTGCACAGTGTTTGATGGAGCTCTCAGTTTAAAATAGATTTGGAGGCAGGAGTGGCAACCACTTCCTAAACAACATGTCTCTGGAAACTATGAAATTTAAAAAATGACAATAGTTATAGAAAGGCTCAGGTCTCTTGTTCAAAGGGTCGCTGAGTCATGCTTGACTCAATGACAATCAACAAAAACAACAACAGAGAGAGAGCTGTGTATAAGCTGATTGGCAGCCTGTATTTAGTCAACAATCAGCTTGGGGTGTAAGCCTCTTGTTTAAGTCAATCAGATCTGGTGGGCGGGCCTTTGTATATAAAAGTTGGTTGGGCCCTAAGGCTCCAGTTTGGAGGCTTATGTGTGACGCAGTTGGGTTCTGGATGGTAGCTTCTCTTGATTTCGTTGAAAGTCAGGTGTAAACTGTTGGGTTTTGTTTTTGGTTTGTTTTTTTTTCATTAACAATCATGTGTAAGGTGATTGGTCACCTGGATTTATTCAACAATCAGCTGTGGGCTGGAAGCTTCTTGTTTAAGTCAATCAGGGCCTAGTGGGTGGGCCGTTGGTTGTTTTTTTTTTTAAGGGCCTTTGCATTTAAAAGTCATTTGGTTCCTTGGGTCTGCTGTTAATTGTATTTGGGGAAAAACAGTGTTCTAAGTGGTACAACACTTGTCTGTCAGTCTGCTGTAATGAGAACTTGGGGTTGCTGTGATACTGAATGCTATGCCACTGGTGTGTCAAGTGCCATAATGGTTACTTGTGGTGGACAGGGTTTGGTAGGGCTCTCAGATTAATACAGACTTGGAAGCAGGATTGACATCTACTTCTTAAACAACAGGTTTTTGGAAACTCTATGAAAATTAGAAAAATGACAATAGCTATAGAACAGGGTTCCAACCTTTTGTTCATAGGGCCAGTATGAGTCATACTCAATGGCACTTAACAACAACAAGAGGGATGCAGGGGCTCCTGTAGCTCTTATGACTCATTGCCAAGGCCCCTAACCACCAAGGCCACACCAAAGGTTTGCTTGGAGTGACCTATTAAGCAGAAGTGAGCTAGCCATATTTGGCCTTACAAAAGCCTATTCCCCTATAAGCCACCTTCAAGTTTGGTTCCAAGAATTTGCCATGCCTCCACCTGTGGCCTAGTAGTAAACAATTGTGCTGTCAACCCAAAGGCATGTGGTTCAAATCTGCCAGCTGCTCTGTGGGAGAAAGATGTGCAATCAACTCCCATGTGATTTACTACCCCTGAAAACTCCCCAGACGGCCAGCTACGGTCAGGCCAGACCTGACAGCACACAACAGCCATTCCCAACAAGGACCATGAGGGCCACTGGGGAGGACTCACAGCTTTGTAAGTGCGGATGGGCAGTGTTACCTAACTGGAGGCACAGATCACAACAGCAACATAGACAAACGCAGGGAAGCAAGCCTACACTCAGAGGAAGGGCAAACCCTCAAATCCCTCTCTAGCTCAAGGAGCAAAGGGAAGTCAGGCAGTCACAGCAGACCAGACATCAAGGGGGTCCAGTCCTCCAGCTGCTCTGCAATCAGTGATGTTCCGGTGGCTCTGGCTACATTACAACATTCAGCACATGTCCCTCTCTGCAGCTGCAGTCTGAAGGCCCAGAGCCACCTGGTTCTGAAGAACCATCTCCTTTAGCTGTGTCATTGTTAGTTGTTAGGTGCTGTCAAGGTAAATACAGCTCATAGCCACCTTGTGAACACATGAGCAAACTTCCTGTGCCATCCTCGTCATTTCTGACGTACCTGAGCTCATTGCTGCAGTCACTGTGTCAATCCGCCTGGGGAGGGGCTTCATCTCTTTCACTGACCCTCCCCCACCTTTCCAAGCGTGATGTCTCTCTCCAAGGAATATGCTGTCCTAAGGACATGCCCAAAGTAGGCGAGAAAAGACTGTCATTCTTGCCTCTGAGGAGCACCCAGGCTGTGCTTTCTCCGAGACATATCTGTTTATTCTTTTGGAACTCCAAGGGATATTCAGTTCTCTTCTCCAACACCACAACTCAAAAGCATCATTTTTTCTTCTTCCGTCATCCTTATTTATTGTCTTGCTCTCAGATGCATAGAATGTGACTGAAAAGACCTTGGGTAGAATCAGGTGAACTTTTGTCTTCAAACTTATTCAGTAATTTGAAAAGGCCCCTGACTGAAGACTTTCCCAGTGCAATACAACTATTGATCTACTGACTGCTGGTACCAACGGTGTTGATTGTGGATCCAAGTAAGATGTTATTGTTTTTGTTTTTTTATTAATTTTAATGAATGTTTACAGAGACTTAGGGTTTCCATTCACACACTGTTGCACTTTTCTCCCTGCCCCCCTCCCCTCCACAATTCGCTCTTCTCCTTGAAGAGTAAAAGAAAAACTCTTTTATTATTATGCAATCCCTCCCCCAAAGTCCACTCCACTGTGCAGCCTTCATTTTGGACTCCTGTCATGACAATAACACCCAATCATATATTCCTTTTAAGCAATTCTCTCCCTCATCTGTTTCAATGCAGTACACACCATTCCTCCCCTCCTTCTCTGTCTTCCCTCAACCCCAATGCCAGTCCCGTTTTACTACAGTGGCCCTATGCAATATTTGTCCTTTTGTAACTGAGATATTTCACTCAGTATAAAGACTTCCAGGGTCATCCATTCTGCATAATATTCCTTATTTTTTAATGCAGCATAGTATTCCATTGTGTGAATATACCAGAGCTTCTCTATCCATTCATTTGTTGATGGCCACTTGGGTTGTTTCCAACTCTTTGCTATTGTGAAAAAAGCCACAATAAACATGGGAGTGAATATATCTGCTTGGGTGGTGGTTATGATTCTTTAGGGTAAATTCCCAGTAGTGGAATTGCTGGGTCAAATTGTATTTCTATTTGCAACTTTTTGAGAAAGCACCATACAGCCTTCCATAGTGGTTGCACCATTTTACACTCCCACCAACAGTGAATAAGGGTTCCAGTTTCTCTGCAACCTCTCCAGCATTAATTTTGCTATTCTTACTGGGGTGAGATGATATCTCATAGTTGTTTTGATTCACATCTCTCTTAGAGCTAGGGAATTTGAACATTTCTTCATGTGCTTGTTGGCCATCTGAATGTCTTCTTGGTGAAGTGTCTGTTCATATCCTGTGCCCATTTTTCAATTGGATTATTTACCTTTATCTTGTTGTGGTTGACAGTTAAAATATTTTCTTCATCTATCATGTTGTTATCTGTTGGTCCAGTGGTGAGAAATTTTGTTTTCTTGATGTTGACATGTAAGCCACATTAAAGGCTGTAATTTTTTATCTTCTGCACAAGCACATCAAGTCCTCTTCACTTGCAGCAAGTAAGGTTGTATCATCTGTATAATGCAGGTTGTTGATGAGTCTTCATCTGCTTCTAATGCCACTCCTCTTCATAGGGTCCAGCTTCTCAAATTACAGATTAAATAGGTATGGACAGAAGTTACAACCCTGATACACATCCTTCCTGATTTTAAACCATGCACCGTTCCCTTCTTCTGTTCACACAATAGCTTCTTGATCTAGGTATAGATTTTGCATGAAGAGAAGTAAATATTCTAGGATTCCTGTCCTAACAGTTAGCCATGATGTGTTATGGTCCACTCAGTGATATGCCTTTGTATAGTCAATAAAGCTTGTGGCAAGTAGAGGAGAAAGAAATTGGATTCCTTTCATCCCTCCCATGATAAATAGTGAGTCTCTGTAAATGTCCTTGAGGCAGATAACACCCAGAATTCCTTGAATCACTTATGCCTCTCAGGTCAGGGAACCTGGTCTGGAGTAAATGGGTCCAAAGAATGCTAAAGAATGCATAAAGCAGGTCTAAAATAGCACATGTGCCCAGATCTCTCTCTCTCTCTTAAAAAAAAATCATTGCTGTTGAGTTGCAACTAACTCATAGCTTGGAATGTCTTTTCAGGGGGCTGTAAATGTCATGAGAAAAGAATTCCCATCTTCCTTCTGTGGAGGCCTGTGGATTTGAGCCCCAGAAAGCCACCACCCCTGGGTTAGCAATGGAACTCACTATAGGCTATGCTGTCAGAGCCCTCCTGCCAGGTATCTAGCAGTGGCTTTACGCAGGATGGTTCTCATTTTCTTTTTAAGTCTGGAGTTAGAAATTCCATACAGGGAATCATTACAATGCCAATTTCCAAAGTGCATGAGCTTGAAACTGCTTAGGGTTTCTAGCTAGGATGTATTCTGATCTATCAGAACTGATCTTCTGCGTGTTTATCTCTGCCTGCTGTTTTTCCACATGCATGAAGATTCGCACGCATGGCTGTAACCTGTGGATGGCCAAGCCCCCTCACCCCTAGAACCCAGGGCTTAGCAGCAAAAGTCAAATGGCTATATTCCGTGGACGGCCACTGAGGGAAAGAATGTGAGGTCAAGGGTGATGATGAGCCCAGCTTGGAAGAAGAGTGCTTGGCAAGTCCTTACACCTCTCTCTCTCTCTCTCTCTCTCACACACACACACACACACACACACACCCACCCCTGATCTCCACCACAGGCCAGAATGCTTCTCCAGGCCTACTCAGAAATGACAGCCTCATTCACCAGTAAGAAAATGTAAGCAAAGTGTAATAGGACTTAATTTTAGCTAGCTAGTGCTGTTTTGACAGAGACATCACAAGCAGAAGCCTTTAACAAATAGAAGTTTATTCTCACAGTTTGAGAGGCTGGAAGCCCTCCTTCCATTGCCGGCCCTAGGGGAAGGCCTAACTCTGCCATTTGTGGGGAAGTGCTTATTCCCTTCATCATCCGAAGGCTCAGTGCTTCTTGAATGTCTCCATGTGTCAAGGCACTCCCTCACCAGGGACCACACTCCACTCCAGGGAATCATTTCTTGGTGGTACTGAGGTCCCTTGTTCCTGACTTCCTCTCCTTTCTTTTTATGATAGCAAGAGAAAAGATATTACAGGCCCCACCTGACGGAAACTCCATTTATGTAGGTTTAAGGCCATGATGGGATCAAGGAGTATTACATTCAGTTGTGAATCAGTTCCTATTTGAGGGCACACAACAATTTGGTTAACCAGATTATTAAATTGGTTATACGACCTCCCCATTATGTTACAAGGATGCATTAGGGGGTGAAATGATTCAATCCAATACAGAAAGATACCCATTAAATGTTTTTTTTTAAAAACAGTGCCAATTCACAACTTAATTGGAACCCTCCTACTCTTAGGGAGTATTAATTGCTTTAACAGCTCCATGGATAGCGCTTTTCAGTATTTGGTGGACTTCTGCCCAGCCATGACCACTGTCCTTCAGGTGGCCGCGTGCTTGCGGCCCAGCCTCCTCAGCGCCTCCTTCACGTCCTTGTTCCGAAGGCTGTAGATGAGGGGGTTGAGCATTGGGATGACCAGGGTGTAGAAGACAGAGACCACTTTGCCCTGCTCCATGGACTCCACGGCCCCTGGCTGGGCATACATCACAAAGACGGTCCCGTAGAACAGGGACACAGCAGTCATGTGGGAACCACAGGTGGAAAAGACCTTGTGCCTCCCAGTCCCTGAGCGCATCCTCAGGCTGGTCACCATGATGTAGCCATACGAGATGAGGACCACCAGGGTGGTGCCCACGATGATCATTCCACAGACTCCAAACATGATCAGCTCATTGAGGGCTGTGTTGGCACAGGCGATACGGAGCAGGGGAGGCACATCACAGAAGAAGTGGTTGATGTGGTTGGAGCCGCAGTACGGGAGGTGGAAGGTGAGGCTGGTCTGTATGATGGAGTTGAGGCAGCCTCCACAGTAGGTGCCCAGCACTAGACGGGCACAGGCTGAGGGACACATGGTGACTGGGTAGCGCAGGGGGTTGCAGATGGCCATGAAGCGGTCATAGGCCATCACTGCCAGGAGGAAGCCCTCAGTGGTGACCAGCAGGGAGAAGAAGAAGAACTGAGAGGCACACCCAGCAAAGGTGATGATCTTGGTTGAGGAGAAGAAGTTGGTCAGGGCCTTGGGGGCGATGACAGAAGAGTAACAGAGGTCCAGGAAGGAGAGGTTCTTGAGGAAGAAGTACATGGGGGAGTGGAGGCGGACGTCCAGTGTGATGACCACGATCATTGTGAGGTTCCCCAGCACAGTCACCAGGTAGAGGCCCAGGAACACAGCAAAGAGCAGGGCCTGGGTCTCCAGGCCACCCTCGAATCCCACCAGCACAAACTCCTGCACAGACAATCCTGAGAGGTTCCCATCTTCATGGGTCAGCATGGCCTCAGGGTATGGATCAGGTGCAGCAGAGAGGGACTGGTGAGAGGGAGCAGGTCACTGTCCACTGTCACATGGCTCCCTGGATTCAAGCCCTCTCAGTGTCACCTTGTTAACTAACCAAGGTAGAATAGCTGCCCAGTTCTCACTCCAGATGAACTTGACCTACAAAAGCAAAATTTTCTCTCACTCAATTAATACATAATGAGACACAGCTATGGAGAGATTATTGATGGATGGGTGGATGGATCAATGAATGATTAGTGGCCGATTGGTGGCTGATGGATTACTGATGGATGGATGACAGACCATTGATGGTGGGTACAGAGCAGCCTGACTGGGACGGAGAGTCAGCCTCCCTCCTCCTGTTTTATTCCATGATTCATCAACTCAGGAGCATTACCGAGTGCACCTGGTATCGTGATGTTCAACTCTATGCTGGAAGCTGAGCACGGACCAACTCCCACTGGATTGTGAGCACTGCCCCTGCTGCTGCCTCTGCCTGGACTGTAACCCATTGCTAGAAGTCACGTCTGACTCTAGAAGCTCTGGAAGCTGCGGCGGAACTTCTCTGTGGGTTTCTGAGTCTTGGTGAAACCAGGCAGACACGCTCTTCTCCCAAGGAGAAGCTAAAGCATTTCCAACCACTCACTCTCAGTTAAGAGCCATGTGCTTAATCACTGTGACACTGGGTTCCTTTTCTGGACCACAGTGACCCTCTATCAGCTGATTTTCCGCATATGGAGGACCTCAGGAGACTCCCACCGATGCCTATTTGTTAGGCAGATCATGGAGGTCAGTAGCACAGCCAGGGTCTGAGAGCCAATGGAATGATGAGGGACACGCACCGCCATACTCTCTCCCTCATCCCTATAGCTGGTCTCCTCCTCCCTCCATCATCATCCTGTCTGGGCCTCACTTGTTATGAGAAATAACAGACACTGACCCCTGAGAGAACAGCCCTGGTGGGTCAGCAGCTAAAGCACTTGGCCACTGACTGAAATACTAGTGATTGAACTCATTCTTCAGAGGGAGAGATGAAGAAGCTGCTCCAGTCAGATGCGAGCCTTGGAACTCTGGGACCAGCTCTACATCCTGAAAGGGCTGCATGCAGACGGTTTAGAATTTGGGGACCAGGAAACATGTTTTGATTGGTCTGGACTTCTTGGGTTAGAAGCTCTCTCCTGCCCCTCTCAGTACAGACCACACAAGATGGTTGGAAGCAGGGTAAACTTCATGCTCTGGGGGAATGGGTGATGGGCATGGACTGAGTAGGCTGGCTGGAACACTGAGGGAGTGGTTTCCATGACTTTGGAAGAGTGGGCACAGCTGGACTGGAGGTGGGAGGGCAGCCCGCGGTATCCCCCATGTGCCCTCAGTGTGGTGCATGTGCAGTCCAATTCGAGAGCTGAGACCAGCTGCCTGGCAGGCCTGTGGCATGGCGGGGGTGGGGTGGGGTGAGGCTGCATGGAGGGAGTGAGCTCACTGGCCAGGCGGTGTGTGCAGAGGCTGGTGGTCAGGGATGTGATGTGGTGCTGGAATCCTCCCCACAGCACCGCATCCTGTGGTGTCCCACATGTGCCTGGTGATAGCCCAGGTGTTCAAACAAGTGAGAGGATGAAGGGCCAATGTCCTTTCTTGGGGAGACATGACCTCTCCCTGCACTGGCCACACCAGTCACACCAGCACTGTGATGTTCAACCAAGCCCCCGATTCCTGAGCAGGACAAAAGTTCTGTCCAGAGTGATGGCTGGCTGATGGTCCCTGGATGCTCATGTCCACGCTCGTCTGCACAGAGGGGACAATGTGACCTATCGGTCCAGCACCCATCAAAAATGCCTCACTTTGCTCTCTCTGTCCCAAAGCCTTCAGTTCAATATCTGGGTGGCTGTTACCCTTCTGGGCCTCTAGTGCCCACAAGGCTGACCACCCAGAAGTAGGCCCCTGGGCTACGGCTGTTTTCATCTGTAAAGCTGAGTTCCTGCTTTATCTTAGAAAATAAATGGCCTGACACTCGGGCTGGGCTAAGGGACCTGGGATGCAGCAGGCACAACAGCCTGGGAATGCCTCCTGTGTGGAGACAGCTGCAGTGGACACCTCATAGCCCTTTATCAACAACAGAGTGGTCTCAGGACAGCTGCTTCAGCCTCACCCCAGAACCCCTGAAGGTCTCAGGCCCCTCAACCCCTAGCCTGCATTTCTAGAAGAACCTGTTTATGTTCACACAGAAATTTCACAGATAGTGCCTAGTGGACCTTGAAGCTGAGAGCCTGGCTGGGCAGGGCTGAGGTCAACATCCCCAGTTTTCTGAGAACTTCGCTAGGGTTCCTGCACCCCACTCTCTGCTGAGTGCTTTAATCATCAGCCCCCTTGCCCTCTAATCAATTCTAACTCATAGCAACCCTGCTGGACAGGCCAGAGCCGCCCCTTTGGCTTCCAAGACTGTGACTTTCCTTAGAAAAGCAGGCTGTCACCCATGGCTTTGAATCCCAGTCTTTTGGATTGCAGTTAGATGCTTCAAGTACATGCACTTGACTGCTTCCTTAGAGCAAGACCAAATCCAACCCAACCCATGGCTCTCAAGCTGGTGCTGCTTCACAGCCCACCATCGGTTTCAGGACTGTAAGTCTTTGGAGGAGACTGTCCTTTTTTCTTCCTTGAAGAGAGAGGTTGGTGGGTTTGAAACATTGACCTTTTATTTTTCAAATATAAGCCTGACACATTGCTCACTAAGTTACATAGGCTCCTGGTCATAAGACCAGCAGCCGATAATGCCTTGGACTTTGAGATTGGGTGTGCATTCCTGGAAAAGTCAGGACTCACCTAAGACCACACAACTGAGGCCTGTGCTCCGGGGTCACAGGGCTCCTGACCCTGTTCTGTACGGGCACACAGGGCACCTGTATCCAGCTGGGTCTGGGAGCTCTAGGTTCCAGGACATTAAGCTGCCCGTAGAGGTAGAGGCTGGAAGCTCAGCTTCTCTGCACCTGGTCCCTCTCACCATGATGTCCAGGGAGCTCTGTGTCCCTGCACTGTGGGGTCACTGCAGGGCCTTTCCCCTCCACCTGGCACTGCTGGGACCCAGGGCCCCGTGTGGCCAATTAAGAGTGGCTGTTGGCATTCAGGCTGCACTGAGTCTCCTGGTCCCTGGGTCCCTGTCACTATCCTTGATTGGACCCTTCAGTCTGAGCCTGGAGTCAAAGCTCTGAAGTCCCTTTTTGGGCTCAGAGGGCAAAGAGGACACAGAGATCCAGTGGGTCTCAATGGAGAGGAATCTTGCAGAGTGACAGGAACATCCTCCTGGGTCCAAAGCCCCCTGCCCTCCACCCTCATGCCTCCATCTCCCACACCTCCAGCTCTCACATCTCTACCAGCCACATCCCCACCACTTTGCCTCAAGAATCTGTAAATCTCTTTTCTACACAGGGTCTCCCAGGCAGCCTGATTGGGCAATCCTCTCACCAGGAAGTTGAAAGCTCCTTTCTATTCCTTTCCCCCAGCAAATGTGCTAACATTCGCTGTGTCTTAAGATTAAAAATGAATACCTGTATGAAGAAATGAATTAATGAGGAGCAATGATGTCAGTTTGAGGACTAAGTTGTGTCTGATTTAGCCCATGGTCCTTTCAATCACTTGTTATGCATCTGAGAGCCAGACAATGAACAAGGATGAGAAAGGAATTGATGCCTTTGATCTGTGGTGCTGAAGAAGAGCACCAAACCGCCCATGGATGGCCAGGAGAACAAACAGCTATGTCTTGGAGAGTGTGTATGTCATAGAGGCCTGGCTCTCTTGCCCTACACAGTGTTGCATGGCTGGGCGTGGTGGTTGCGTCTTGGTGGAACTGTTCATTGCTCATGCTCCTCTGTTCTGTTCTCTGTCACGTAGTTGGACCTGGAGGCTGTTGTCACTGTCCTCATCACTGCCACTCAGACTTCCTCCTCTGAGGGCAGTGAGGACTCTGCTTTCTCTGTGATACCTTTTTAATCAGTGTAGTAACTGCATGTTTTCATTGACTTACTATGGCTATAAATGGTGAAACTAGTTCTACCTTCAGCCGAGTGCCCCTCCTCAGGTGCCATACTGCTAGGAAGGTAACCATCCCTCATCTTAGGGCAATTTAGTGTACAGTTCATATCAGAAGGGCAGGATCCACAAGCCTGTCTCTGTAGGTTTACATTGAGTGGGTTCCTTAGCAGCCTCTAATGTCACTGAAGTTCCTGTATCCATACAAACATGCACACGTATCTAGATCTTTTCTTAAATTCAGTGGTCTTACCAAATAGAATGATTTTCCAGACATTTTCCTACACTTTGGTTCCCCCCAATCACACACACAGTGAACTGGCTCATAGCTGACCCTCCTGCAGGTTTTCAGAGGCAGTAAATGGCACTGGATGAAACTTTGTGTAGTAGCTGGTAGATTTGAACTGTGTGTCTTGGGATGACAGTTCCTTATCACTGGTCCACCTGAGCTTCCTAGGCACAATTATATCTTGTTAGGTGTCATACAGTCAAGTATGATTCATAGTGACCCTATAAACAGATCAGAACCATGTTCTATCCTGCACCATCCTCACACTTCCTGACACACAAGAGCTCATTGCAGCAGTCACCTTGTCAATCCACCTGGTTGCGGGTCTTCCTCTCCTTCTCTGATCCTCCACCTTTCCCAGTATTATGTCCCTTACAAGAAATAGCCCCTTCTAGCAACATGCCCAAAGTATGTGAGGTGAAGCCTCATCATTCTTGCCTCCAAAGAGCACTCAGGCTGCACCCTCTCCAAGACATATCTGTTTGTTTTCTTGACTGTCCATGAGATGTTCAGCATTCTCCTCCAACACCATAGCTCAAAGATGTCAATTCTTCTTCTGTCATCCTTATTAATGGTCCAGCTCTCAGATCCATAGCAAATAATCAGAAAGATTATGGCCAGAATCAGATGCACCTTAGCCCTCAAACAGACATCACTACTCCTCAGTAATTTGGAAAGATTCCTAACT